CCCTAATCCAAGCCCACAAGTACAAAACCAATTACTCACACCGTATCAGTAACAAAGGACTAAACTCTAAAAGAGACTCGTGACACCAACCAGCTAAGTCACTAGAACCCACTTTTTCCCAGAGCAGCCCATCTCCAGAGGTCAGAAGGCAGTCTATACCCATGGCAGGGCAGAAGCGAGCTGCCCACACACAGGCACAGCTCTCCTGCTCGTCCTTGGTCCCAGAAAGCCACTGACACACCAACCTTCAGTTCCAGCCCTTGGCTGTCCACTCCACAGGTCGGTCACCCTGGTTTCCCTGTAGGAAGAGTGTCAGTCTCTCCTAGATTATTTCCTTTATTCCTCTCTCTGTTCATAAACCACAAGTTGGAGGTTGGCAGGGATGCTCACAGAAGACCTGGACTTCATGGATCAAGGGTCTTTCACACTGTCACCATACCCAGAGGGCAAAAAAGGGGGCATAGAGCCAGAACTGAACTGCTAAGAGCAGAGGAACATACACACAGTGTACTAGAAGGAAGACAAACACTTGAAAGATGGGAAGACCAGAAAGGACAAACCCTGCTAGAGGGAAGTCGGTCTCTTAAAGGAGAGAAGAGGCAGAGCCAGACAGAGGGAATAAAAACAAACAAGATGACTGCAGTAGACAAAGGAAATTAAACCTTACAAAACAGCTGCTGCATATCACACTTGGAACTGTTCGAGACAAACAGAACAACAACAACAACACTTTCCTGCTGTGATCCATGAGAAATGAGGGCCCCTTTCCTTTCTGACTCACAGTCCCTGGAGCAACTATGGGTTTTCCCTGAGTACTCATTGCCATTCCTCTATTGATGGCTTCTTTTCAACACTGTCTCAGAGACGCCACCATCTCCTCTACTCAAATTTCTCAAAAAAATCACCAAACAAACAACTAAATGCCGCTCCTGAGCAGCTGGCAGCTGCCCCCTAGTAATGCTGCTGCAGGGAGAGACGGGGGGACCAACGTGGCCCCAGACTGGCAGATGCTGGCACCACAGTCCTGCTCCTGCAGCACAGGAAAACCCTGCAACAGTCAGGCCTCCACTGCCATCCTCTCTAAAATCAAATACAGCCCAGGGAAGCAGCAGAAGGAATACCCTGCAGCAAAGATCTCCAGATTGTCTTACCTGCTACCTCCTGACAAAGGGATGGATGCTCTATGAGCCCAAGGATCTCCTTTTAACCATCTGCATTACTCTCAACAGAGAGACAAACAGCCCCCATGAAAACTTGCCTTTATGTAAAGTCTGGCAGCTACAGTACTTATTTGGGAAACTTCCTGCTCCAAGGCCCTGTTTACTGCTACAAGAGAAACACTAAAAGAATAAAACATTAACAATCATTAGTGTTCTAAGGGAGGCAGAGAAGACTTTAATTGGCTGTGGTTGAAACAATTTGCACAGAATCACAGAATTGCTGGGGTTAGAAGGGACCTTTGGAGATCATCCAGTCCAACTTTCCAGCCAAGGAAGGTGACACAGGAACACGGCCAGGTGGGTTCAGCGTATCTCCAGAGAGGGAGACTCCATGAGACACTTGAGCAGCCTATTCCAGTGCCCTGCCACCTTCAGTGTAAAGTTTCACCTCTTCCTAATGTTGAGGTGAAACTTCGTGTGTTGTACTTTATGGTCATTATTCCTCATCCTGTTGCTGAGCATCACCCTCTTGACAACCCCCCCTGAGATATTTATATGCATTAACGAGATCCCCTCTCACTTTTGTCTAGACTAAACAGGCCCAACTCCTGCAGTCTCTCCTCATAAGACACAATATCCAGATCCTTCATCTTTGTTGCCCTCTGCTGGACCCTCTCCAGTGGCTCCTTGTCTCTTTCAATAAAGAAGACCAGCTACTGACGTGAAGCCCCTGCATGCTACTTCTTGGTACAAATACCTGTCTGCACACAGATAGGAAGCACAGTTCCTTTCCCCTCTGCAGTTTGGTCCTTTCAGCCCCAGCTGCCGCTCCCTGTAGCCTCACACGTGCACACGTGGCTGTGGAAAGGCCCGGCCACACTCACAGGCCTGAGCAAGGGCCGGAGCTCGCACTGTCCCAGTCCCGTCCCAGCTGCTGTCAGTGTCCGGCTGAGCCAGCGCCGCACAGCCCCGCGGCCACACCGGGGAGGGCAGCCAGGACCCGCGACCCGCGACCGTGAACGGGCCGAAATGAGCAGCGCCGGGACCAGAGGAGGCTCCTCTCCCATCCTTTCAGCTTTCCCTGCACATGCAGCACCATGAGCACGGCCGAGGGCTCCCTTCTCCTGAGGGGACGAGAACGGGCCCGGGGCTGCTCTGAGGCGAGCGCGCGCACAGCGACGCCTCACCTCATGGCTCCCGGCATGGCCGGGGCCACAGCCGGCTCCCAGTGGGGCTGGGGCCACAGCCGGTTCCCAGTGGGGCAGGGGGCACAGCCGGCTCCCAGGGGGGCTGGGGGCACAGCCGGCTGTTTCACGGCCGAGCCGTGAAGCAGCAACCGCGCACGGAACCGCTCCCGAGCGCACCGCCGGCCCGCCGCCGCCGCGCGCATGAGTGACAGCCGCGCCGACCAATCACGAACCGAGCCCCGCGGGCGCTGACCAATGGCCTGGGGCGGCGTGCGGCGGGGCGGGGCCAGCGGCGGTGCGCGCGGAGCCGAGCGGCCCGGCCCGGCCCCCGCGGCCCCGGGCGCGGCCCCCGGCGGCCGCTCCGCCCGCGCCCCGGGGGGACCGGACACCTCGGCGGGAGCGCGCAGTAAGTGCCGGCCTGGCCGCCCCGGAGCGGGGGGCGCTTCTAGGGAGGGGCGGGGTGGGCCGGGCCGCGTCGCGGGGGTGTCCGGCTGCGCCGTCCCGTCCCTCCCGCGGGCACTGCGGGGCGGCCGCGGCCTCTCGGGGGCCGGCGGAGGCCCGGCCGTGTCCTGACGGCAGCGGGCTGTGAGCCCGCGGCGCCGCTTGGGCAGCGGAGGGCCCCGTACCCCATTATTCGCCTGGAAACTTCTCCTCGGGATGGGGAATGAGGCACTTCCCGCAGGGATGGAGCCCCGCGCAGCGGTGGGTGGCACTGCCCGCACGGGGACGGGGCGGGTGCTGTCATTGCAGTGTGTGTCAGAGCGGGATCCGAGGAGCGGTGACATTGCTGGGGAAGGTCCCTGCGCCTGGGCCAGGCTGGGATGGCACCGTGTCCCTCTCGGACAGCGGGACGGTGACAGCCGGGGAGCTCCGGGGCAGCGGGAACACAACCATCGGGGCTGCCCCGAAGCCTGGACAGCTCTGGAGAAGAGCGGGGGAAGCCACATCCTTTTACCAGCAGCAACTCAGTGCCGCTTGCACTGCTGAATTACTAGAGATACTTGCTCTTCTTGAATTAATGCACAAACTACACTTGTTATTATTCTTTATCCAGAGACCCTCTGACCCATCTTCATCCCTGTGACACAAATCTCTGTTCCTGTCACACCCAAAATTGAAACAGCAGCACAGAGAGATTAAAACCAAGACTTCAGAAAAGGCTCAAGGTGGGGCCCAAAACAATTTTCTGCATTTCAGAAGTGAGCAGCACCTATCAGAGATCAGTTTGGAAGTGCTAGCTTGGGAGAGAAACAAACGTGTTCTCCTTATTCACAGAGTCAGCAGAGCCCAGCACAGAGCAGTCCTGGCTGTGCGAGGAGCTCTCTTGGTGCAGGCAGTGGAACAATGCCAGCTGGCAGCAGCTGAGGATCTGGTTCCTCTTCTGTTCTATTTGTGCATGGACTATGCTGGAACCTACCAGTGATAGGTAGTAGCTGTCCCCGGCCCCACAGCTGCCATCAGAGGCTTGGAGTGTGCCCAGCCTGCAGATCAAACTTCCAGCACCAGGATGACAACTGGGAAAGGAAGGTGGTGGGGAAAGATGATCCACCCCAGCTCTGCCGTGTAAGTGCGGGCCCTGGGCCATCCTTGCACTCAGCCTCCCTGTCTGACTGTCTGCAGCCCGGACCAGGAAGAGCTGGGGAGCAGAAGCAGCCCTGTCTGAACCTGGAAGTGGCTCTCTAAGCCAGGTCAGAAACCTCTGACACAGGACTGCTTTTAGAGCTAGGTCTGGGCACAGAAATCCTTTAGCATGAACAGGACATCAAGAGCAAGAAAAAGAGGCCCATTCTCCCTTGACCAGATTTCCAGCTGGCTAATTTTAACCCAGCCTTTTTTGTTTTTTCAGAACTGATACTACATTCGGTTGAAGACCTAACCCATTTTGTTTCCAAAATTTAGGAGCTGTTCAAGATATAGAGCCATAGTCTGCAAAGCCCTTGAGCCTGCTCCACTCCTTTCACTTAGGCTCTTTTTCCACTTTATTTCCTTGGTAGTGGCTTTTTTAAAAATGGGTATTATCATTATGGAAAGTGTCCCTGAATAGCACAGACTGATGGATTCTGCCTGAGCAGCTGGTCGATCTGCTCAATAATTCCTTCCCTTTCCCTGCTGGGCTGTTGCTGCTGCTGTTGTTGTGACAGTGATTTCAAATTTGCCACCTTTGTGCCCAAGTGTCCTGAGCTCTGCTGTGGTCAGCAATGGCTGGAGAAGTCCAGGTCCCCGTGGTTTAAGCAGAGTGCAGGGCTTAATGGTCAGTGAAGGGCACAGTCCCCTTCAGCTGCAATGAACTCGTGACGGAGCACAATGTTAGGAGACATCAGAACAGAACCCTTATTATTCACATTTCTCTGGAAACTCCAGGGAGTTTGACAGCTCCCACAGTGTCCCAGGCACTTCAGAATTTCCCTTTGCTTCACAAAGTTGTTTCCAGGGGTCTGAGACACACTCTGCATGTGTGGCAAGGCATTTACCTGCTCAGGGAGCTGCAGGACAAGTTGAGGTGACTGCTCCAGCTGCTGACTGACCACAGCACAGCCTGGTGCTGCTTGGTGGGGGTGGTTTCCCTGCTGCTTTCCATGGCAGATGTTGATCACGCTGCTTCCTGCAGCTGTGGACAGCAGTAAGGCACCACGGTTGTGGGAACTGCACAGTAACCTTGGAGTGGAGCAGAACAATGGCTCGTTCCTCTTTGCAGGCACATCTTTTTCTATTCAGAGCTCACTAACCCCTCTGTTCCAGCTGCATTTCAGCCCAGGGATGTAATGTCTGCTAAACTGCAGGGAAGTTACCAGAGAACTGCTACAGAAGTTCTCAAGTCAGCTCAGCTCCAGAGGTAGCTGCGTTTTCAGGGAAGCCTAAAGTTACATGCAGTGCTTTTATAAACAAAGTGTGCAAATACTTCCCGTGGGCTCATCCCATCGTATTTTGCAACTCTTGATCATTTGAACAATAGAAGTATGAAGCAATTAAAGCCTTTAATGTTCTCAGCATGAACAGATCTATCAAAGTTCACAAGCAGAATCCAAAATTGGACTAATTTTAAAATTAATACTGATAATTGACAGTGCATGACTAAGCTTGAGTGGGTGCTTTCATGAGGAATTGAGAAATACTCTATCTTTAGATGGAGGACTGATGAAACCCACCCTTTCCAGAGCACATGGGATGAGCAGCACTGGACCAGTGGATAGTGCAGGGACTCACCACAACAGGGAACTCCTACTTTGGATTCAGTAAAAGGCATCCTGAGATATGAATGCCTTACAGCTGAGTGTCATTTTATTGGGTATGTTCCCACTGATAAGGGGATCAATGCAACTTTCCAAAAATTAAAAAGAAGAGACAGAAGCAGGAAAATGCTCTATCCTGGGGCAGATAGAGACCGCCAGGTTCAGCCTGGGGCACCCCAGAGACAAGAGGCTGTCCCCACCCTACACACATCTCCAAGTGACTGCATGGAGGCAGAGCTGGAGTAGTGAGGGGAGAGTTATCACTAACTCCAAGTGAATCAGGCTTGATTGTGGGGGTCCTCAGTATGCTCAAAGAACGTTTTTCTTATTTTGAGCAGGTATTCCAAAACTGCTGGTGAACTGGGGAGCTGTGGGAAAGGTTGTGCCTGTCTCCAAGGGCTCCACATTCTTCATTTGTTCTCGTTCTCTCCTAGGCTGAGTCCAGTGTGGTTCCTACCCCAAAGAAAACCCATCAGTGGTGATGCTGCAGGAGAGGTCTCACGTGAGGGCCCTCCATTGCAAGGGCAGCTTTGCACTTCTGTAGCTGATGGGAGAGGACAACGGCTTGGTAACAGGACCTACCAAGAGGTGGCAGGATGAGCTCCAGCTCACCCTCTGTGCATGATTTGCATCACAGCACCCCCACCATGGCCAAGCCAGAGCCAGGGACAGCTCTGGATGTGACTGTACCACAAACACTCACCATAAGCCCTGAGACTACCAGTTTCAACAGCACCAAAATCCCAGACATGGCCAGCACTGGACCTGGCATGAGCACCATGCTGCTTTCCTTTGGGATCATTACTGTGATTGGGTTGGCTGTAGCAATGGTAAGAGAGCCCAGCTAAACATTTCTGTCTCTTGAGGGTGGAGGGTGGCTAGAGGTTCTAGGACTGATTTGCACTGAATAATTTATTTGCATTCTATTAAAGTCTCACCCAAAACTGCTGGGAACGGATAGTTCCTGAGATTCATTTCTTTTGAAGGCCTTTATCAAGTGCTCCAGTATTTCTGCAGTCTCCCTGAGGTCTGGTCCAAATGGGATGCTCAGCAGACCTAGGAGCAGCCATATGTAGTATCAGTATTTGTTTTTAATACCAATATGAAGTTCAGTTAAAAGGAAGAAAAGCAGATTCTGTTCTGACTTGTTACCTGGAACAGCTGCATTGATTTAAACCTTTTCTTGGGCCCCACAAGAATGTTTATCCATATTAACTTTTTAAGCAGACTGTTGAAACCATATTAGTCCCTCCTGTGGACATGGGGTAGTTCTTTTTGAAATTAAAGTGGCCTGAATCCATCCCAGCAAGACTCACCCTGGACTGCATTTCCAAGGTTCTGCATGCTGGGTATCAGTCCTTGAGGGTTTGGTGTGTTTGGCACTAACCTTGCCATTAATGCTGTGGGCAGAAGCTTTTCACTAGTTCTGGGCCTGCCATGGGCAGTGCAAGGGCTGCAGCTCTCATTTTATGTAACCAGATCGCTTCCCTGCCAACAGAGAACAGAAGGTAGCAGCAAACTCCCATTCCTTGTATGAGGAAAGGCTTCAGTAATACAGCCATCAGAGGAGCCTACTGCAAAATTTCATTGCAGGCCCCAGGAGGAGTTTTACAAAAGCCCCTAAGAAAACCTGGAAACGGTCAAAAGTTCCCAAGAGCAGCATCCAGCGTTCGTAGTTCCCAGAACAAGGCTGTGGAGGCCCAAAGCCTCCCTTTCTTCCCAGCACAGGCTGACAGAGGCAAGTCCCTGAGCATGCCCTCCCTCTTTGCTTCTTCCCTTTGTACTGGGGAGGGGGTAGCAGCACTTCTGCGCTGTAGGAAATCAACACGTGAAAACCAAAAAAGGGAAGCTTTTTCATCTACTCTGAAATTGCAACATATGTCCTGCAGCCACAGAAATGTGCTGAGCTACACCTGATAATACACCTAATACTCTTACTCCTACTAACACACCTAATAACAGGCCACTGAGCACTTAGTGTCAGACATGATGTGCTGCCAAGCTCACAGTTATGCATATGAAGTGTCATTTTCCTTGTCACTTCTCCCTTCCTCCACTTTGGTGCACAGTGACAACAACCTTCTCTACCTCTTTCCTGTGTGCCCAAAATTTCTCTTCTCAGCTATTCCCCGTCCCACCTGGACTGCTGTAATGATGCTTCTTTTTCTCCCTCAGGTTCTGTATATCAGGAAGAGGAAGAGGTAAGATCTGTTACTGGCTGAAGGGAACTCAGTGCTTCAAAATGCAGAGTGAGCTCAGGAGATGGGGAGAGTGTCAGGGATGGCTGTGTGAGAACATGGTGTGACTCAGGCTGGAACACTGCCCTCCTGGGACTGGGCATCCCCCTGACACCACAGTGCAAAGATTTCTCCACAGCTTTGGAAGGAGAATAAGGCTGAGCAGAAGAAGGTCAGGGATCCTGCAAACTCATCACACTTCTCCTATGAGATGCATCAAAACAGAGAAGTTTATGGGTGTGTAAAGAAGCTGGGAACTCCATCATGAAAGGTGTGGATCTCAGGTTCCAGCCATTCACAGATTCCCGTGTTTTCTGGCAGCCCAGGCAGTGATAGCAACTGGCAGCAGCACAGTGGAGATGCAGCTTCAGCCCAGGAGTTAATGTCTTAATTTCCTTGCTAAGCTCCTGGCTGAAAATAGAGAGGAGAGGAGCACGCAGGGAGAATCGTGTCTTGATTCTTCCGTCTCACAGCAGGGACTCGGGTGAAGATCCATAAGCTGTGGTACCTCCTCCCTCCCTGACTCCTTGCCACAGACTTTCAAAGTGCTGCTGCCCACTGAAAAATTTCGAAGCCCAGCCCCAGAGCCCAGGTCTGGGTACTGCTGCAGGAGCAGCCAATGCCTGGCCTGTGGAAGTAGCACTGCTGGAGATAATGTTTGTTCTGGTAAGCCCATAGAGAAACAGGGGAAGAATGTGTCATCCTAACACTTGCCAAAATAGATATTTGTGGTGACACTGCCAGTAACTGCTTGTATGTTTCTTTCTACTCCAAAACTCAGCTATAGCTAAAGGCAGGACTTGGTGTTTCCCCACCACCTCATCCATCATCCATCTCTGAGGAGACCCTTTGAGTAATAATTCATAGCTCTGTCTCTTGGAGCAATAGTAGAGGAGTAGAAACAGTATCCACAGGCATCAGCCCCCTCTGAGAATCTCGTCTTTCTTATTTTCTATTTATTGTTTATTATTTTCTGTTTAATTTTATGTACTTCAGCCCCAGAGTTAAAGTATTCTCAGGGCATTGGAACCTGAAGTGAACTGCTGCTGGCAGACTGTGACATGCCAGCACGGGCTGGTGTGGGCAGTGGGACAGGGAAAAGTCACAAAATGCCAAACCAGTATGTTTCTTTTGTCCCTCCACATAAATCCTAATCTTTTAAGGTCTGCAAGAACTTAAATCCTGATTCCTCTGTGTGTAAATGCCTGCCAACATAGATTAGTGATGGCAATGAATCCCTGTAGCAGCACTCTGTGTGTCTCCCACTCCTGCCAGCCGTGTGTAGTAGGTTCTTATCCTCATCCAGCCATAGCCACAGGAGCAGGAGAACAGCCTGCAGAAAGCCTCAGCAATGGGGTGGGGAAGCAGCCTGAGCCCTGTCCTTCTCAACCAACCCTTTCCCTCCCCTCCCACGGGCAGGTTGGAGAAGCTACGGCACCAGCTCATGCCCATGTACAACTTTGATCCCACCGAGGAACAGGATGAGCTGGAGCAGGAGCTGCTGGAACATGGGAGAGATGCAGCATCTTCCCAGGCATCACAGAGCAAGGTAGGCACAACCACCACGAGTGTCACTGCAGCCACTGCTACCTGCACTGCTTTCTTACAGGGCCAAGGAGATTTGGCAGGGCTGCTAGCTAGAGAAGCCATGTAAGGCCTCAGGAGGACTCCCCATCTCTGCCGGCCCTGGAGACTTGAGCATTTTGGAGTGCTTAGGCACTGACTGAGGAGTCAGGCAGGTCTTTGACAGGAGGCTCTCTCCTGCCCAGTGTAACAAGAGAGATTGGAAAGAAGGGCTTCTCACCACTGTTTGGGTCCAGCTTCACAGTGTTGTCTGTTCCCTTTGTCACCACCACCATACAAAAATCTTTTTTACAAGAGCCAGCAGGGATGGTTGGAAGAGGTGTCTCTTAGCCAGTGACACAGCCTGTCCTTGGAGCAGACATACCTTTCCTGTAGCAAGCTTGGTGTGGGCCAAAAAGGAAAGAGGGAATAATAAATACAACTGTAATTGTAAAATACTTATATTGAGACATTCTCAACCTGCTAAAGAACATAAAGGAGAGGTGTTGGAATATGAAAGATAACTAACATATGGAATATACTAATCTGGAAAAGCAGGAAATGTGGTGTATAAAAGCAAAGGATCTTGTCCTCCAAGAAGCACATACTAGGATAACATCACATCCCTCTATTAGTTCACACAGGGGGCTTATCTGGAGGTAGTAAAGGGGGGAAATTTTAAGGCCAGAGTTAACCCCAGAACAATAAAACCAGAATCATCCTGTCCAGGGACTGGCCAGCAGGATACCTCAGATCCCTCTTGCTAATGCTTGGGAAGTACAAGAGTTTGAAGATTCAATGTAAAAAGAGAGGGAGAGTCTAAAACAACAGCTCAAGTTCAGGCAGTGGCACATTTCCAGGCCTTCTTGATATCTCAAGCCTTTTCATGCTGCCTTGTATGTATAAATAGTGAGACCCAGTAATCCAATGATGTGGGGATTTTAAACTGGCATGGATGTGCAGACTTATTCTCCAGCCTGTTGTATTTTCCTGTCACAGCCTTGTTAATGCCTTGTTAGCCAGGCAGCCTCCCCTGGAAGGGGTGAGTGCAGTTCCAAGTGTGCAGCCTGTGCCCAAGCAGAGACGTGAGCCAAGGCAGCATTGCTGGCTCTGAGCTCTGGTGCTCCCCTGCAGGTGCTGCTGCCGAGCCAGGGAGCCGTGCAGAGACCCAGCCGCCTCGTGTTCACTGACGTGGCCAACGCCATCAATGCGTGACCGGGACCTGCCCTGCTCCGGGATCCTGCTCAGAACAAGGACGAAGCCAACAAAGCAGTGACTTCCCTCAAGCATGGCTGATCCACTGAACCCAGCTGGTCACCTGTTGGTCTGTGTTATAAACAGGCACAGGAAGTGCCAGCACTCTGGGAAGCAAACCCTTTGTAAGGGCAGTGGTGATTTTCTGGTGTGTGTGCTACCACTGTAAGGTCCTGAGCTCCAGTTCCTGGGCTGGCACTGCCTGACGCCACCTACCGAGCTTTGTGCTTAGGGACAGTGCCTGCTCTGTGTAGATTAACCTGTCAGAGCACAGAGCTGTGCTCTCTGGGTCAGGGAAGGGGAGAGGAGCACATTTCAGAGACCTTCTCTGCTGGGTTTGTGTGCCCAGGCCCCAAGGAAAGTGATGGATGAGCCTCTCTGTACAGTGACCACAGCTCTGGCCAGGGACTGGTGGCAAAGCCTCATTGAGCCAGGAGAGCTGCCTGCCCCAGCTGAGGGGTGACCTGGGGCACAGCAGGGAGAGCACAACCATGGGATTATCTCCTCCCAGGCCTGTGGCTGCTGATAAACCTGCACCAGGGTGATGTTGAAGCATGGGGAATTCACTGGCTTTAAAAAGTGAAACAGTGAACATTTGGCCGATAATAACTGAGGAAGTGGCTGAATATCCCAAATTCGAGCTACTATACAGACAGAGAGGATTTCACACAGCTAGAGGCACAGACTGTCACTGTCTGGCTCTGTGAGCCCTGCTGCTAAGCTAGGAGTAACAGTGCTTGGGCCACAAAGAGGAGTTAAGCAGAACTAGGGTTCCAATACCATTTATCCCCTCCTGCTTTGGCTCAGGGAAGTTTCCATAGTACAGAGTGTTATTCAGGAAAAAAGATTAAGCTTTGAAATACTTTCTTTTAAAAAAGGAAAAACAAGTATTGGCTCAACAACAGCCCAATGTCTGCCCCCAGAGATGACTAACAGCTCGTTTGTACTTCCTTACCTGCCAGGACCTGCAGTCAGAGCCTTCTCTTCTTCCTGCTGAAGGGAACACAGAGCTTTGCGTTAGCCTCTGCTCGAGTTACCTGCTAGGAACAGGTAGGTGGGACTAGACAGGTAAGCCAGGGGTTTCCCTGTAGCCCTGAAGCATCTCTTTGCCTGTGCATCCTTCAGGGCTGCAGAAGGAAGAGAGGGCAGAGGGGTCTCTGGCCACCTTGGCACGTGGCAGTGCAGTGTGGGGGCCTGTTGGCTGTAAGCCTTTTGGTGGGTACTGGCCTGGAGTGCTGTAGACCACCACAGCAGCCAGGGACCAGCATCAGTGCCCAACTATGCCCTGATCCCCACCTGGTCTTTGTGTGGTTACAGGCATTTGTTAATCAGATTTTATTCCATACACAGCACCAGTTAAAAGGGAATCGGGTTAAGCCAAAATTTGAATGTAGATCTAAAGCTTTATTCAAGGAGTTGTTTCAGAGTGGCAATTCAGGTATCACATGCTTTGTTGCAAGTTTGGATCTGCCAGTTAGTTTTTGTCCTCCCAAATATTTTATTCTCTTCCTCTGTGTGATTGTTTTTCCCATATTCATTAAATGCAGACTCCTTCCTGGGCCCAGGCCCCTGACCCCTGCAGGGCACAGCTCTGTACTAGCCTTCCCCTCTTCCACTGACAGAGCTTCCCTTAGGGCAGCTTTGCAGAGCTAAATTGTTTTAGTTTTTCAGTATCCAGATGTCGTTTTAGAACTGGGGATTTCTGGGAGTACATGAGGGGTTGGAGTGTGGAAAACAGCCCAGTCCTCATAGGCAGGAGATGTGGAAGGAGGCACCCCCAGGCAGCTGCTGTGTAACCCTCGGGATGCTGCTGGAAGGAAGGTGCATGGGTACAAATACTCAGTGTAATACAGATTAGATACTCCTTCGAATTTGGAGTCTGTGGGTATTCCCAGCAAGCAGCTGAGAGACAAATACCTCCCACCACACACACACACACACTTCTCAGCTCCTCCAAGTGCTCACTGAGAGCAGCTGCACATGTCATTTCTCCCCTCACTGCCTGTCCCCTTTCCGTGCTCTGCAGCAGCACAAGGATGCACGTGGCAGTAGGGGGGGGTCCAGCTGTCTTAAACTGCAGCATTTTCTCCAGAACTCTTAGGATTGGAAATTCAGTGGTTGTTTTAAACTCCACAAAAGGGAAGTGTGAGCTGAGCTGTTTCTTCAATGTGTCAGCCCAGCATCTGCCCTTCTCCCAGCTCCATGTGCTGCAGCACAACAACAAACTTAGTGACAGAGGACTTCTCCTGAAACATTCTCCCTGTGATGGTAGGCTTTGTCCTGTGATGACTGCCCTTAGAGTAAAGGAGTACAGACAATGAGACTAAAAGAATATTTTGGGTAATTGCTGGGCTCATACTGGAGTATTCTTTTAGTTCCCTAGCACCTCCTCTCTGTTCTTGGATGTATAATTTAGCAGAAGCATTATGATGTAATTTATTTCAAGTGTTTCTGTGTTTTAAAGCATTGAAATATAATTAAACTATTTACATGAAAGTCTAGTGTGATTGTCTTTTTCCCTTGTCATTTGTATTTTCCCACAGAAACTGCTAGAGTGTAGCCCCAGTAGCTGCTGGTAATTTGTGAACAGTGAGTGACCCTACTCTTTCAAAAAACTGAACTAAATGGGAAAAACTTGCAAGGGGAAGCTCTGTGAGGGTCAAAGTTTAGTGTTCTACAGCACAGAAACTCAGATCTCTTCAGAAAGGATAGCTGGAAGAGCCAGGAAGGCCAAAGTTCCAGCTGCCAGTCCTGGGCATCCAGAATATAAAAAGAAATCCCAATTGAGCCTTAAGCTGAATTCCTGCACAAACCAGGGGTTCATCAGCTCACCTGCAGCTCTGCCCACACTGAGGGGAACAGAACATGGTGACAGTGTTGTGTTTCAGATTTGCTGCTGTCTCATCTGGCCCACAGCCCCAAAACTTGGATCAGTTAGGAAAGCTGTCAGATGAACTGAAGAGGAAATGCACAGGCAGAGAATTAATTGTATGAAAAGCTAAATAGCTGTATAGCCCACAGAACATGTGGGGGAGAAACAGACTCGACTGTGGAGACTTCTGGGTGTACATGTGAAGCAGAACTGGCCTGTGTTCCAATCAAGCCTCCAAGACACAAAAGGATGGAATTAGGAACCCACATTTGGGTTTAGAAGCCTGTCTGGTTTTCTCTGTGATTCCTCATATTAATTTCTTGTTTTCATATCCATCTGGGGCTGCTCCTAAATGACCAAATTTTTGTTTATAATCCCCAGAATTCCAGGTCAAGAGACACCTTGTCCAGCAATGTGTGTATGTGTGCTGAGAGTGTTGCACAAGGAGGAGGCAAAGCAGGAGCCTGAGGGGCTTTTGTTTAACACCTTTATTTAAGACAAAATTCAAGGCTAATTTGCAAGTTGCCAACACTCTCTATGCCTTCACCAAAACCATTTATGGGAAACTTCCAAGCTTTTCTAGACAACAAACCTCGCTCACCTCCTGTGGTTTAACCAGCTGTAATAACCTCCTGTTTTTGGCCAAGTCAGACCAAAACTGCCTGAGCTTAAAAACACCTGACATGCACTTGCTTAGAGGTAGGTCTGTCTACACAGAAAAAGTAATTAACTATGGGAAATAACATAAAAATGTTTATAATTGCAAAAAAGACAATCCAAGTGATCCAGTGTAAGATCCTAACTCCCTGAAGATGTGTGGAATTATGCCCACCTTTCATAGGCATTGACTTCCATTCTAATTCTCTGCATAAACATGGAAGGTGAAGTTAGGGATTGGGGTTTCAACTAAATACAGAAGAGTTCCTAAAAGAGTGGAATTCTGTTCCCCTCCAGCATTTGCATTTTTATGGAAACAAGTTCTTTACTGTGGTTTTTCAGCAGAGTTAAGAAGTCACAAAGACTAAATTTTTGGGGGTTTAAGAGAAGTAGTACTTTGCATGCATTTCCCAGAGGAATACTGCTGACCTAAAGCAGATGGATTTACTATCTAGCCAAGGCAGTTTGCACCCCTATTCCGTGCCACCAGCTGAGAAAGGACTGACTGATGTCACAGGAAAAGCCTGAGTCTCTTACAGATGTAATCCCTAATCCATTTAGAAGCTGAAGTTCCAGTCTCACCCTGCAACAGCTATTGCTCTCAGGTAGCAGAGGTTAATTAAATAGGCAGTACAGCCCTGCAAACAGAGTTCTGAACCTGCCAGCTCAACTGAAAATCAGGCCCAGAAGTTGGTAAAATATTTTGGTCTGCTACTGGAGTGGCCTTTGAATGCAGATGTGAACTGCAGCTGAACTCGTGTGTGGTGTGTGCACTGAAGAGCAGCAGGATTCAGGGAGCACCTGCTGCACCTTCTCATGTAACCATGAACAGAACAGAGTCACCTGTGTCACGTCCCACCTGCAGTTACCCCCACAGCAGGAGCTGGGGGTCAAACTCCTCCTATAGCACAGGATTTAGGTCAGTCCCTGTCATCTAATCCATTTAGTCCTTGATTTCTCAGCGGTTTGGTAGTGGAGGCACAAAGATGATCTGTGATGCAGTTTCCTGCTGTGACCACCAAGCTTCATACCTAAGAGAGTACCCTTAGGGCACACCAGACACCACACAATTAGGACTGGAACTCTCATCAGTACTAAGCAGAATTAATGGGATCAGGACTCATCAGTACTAAACTGGGTGGACTGAACAAAATTACCTAGAAGGAAAAACCCCACTTTTCCCCCCATTATCACTCCAATCAGCCCTTCTTAATTCTGCATACATTTTCTTGTGTTAAATAAATGCTTGCCAAGGGAACAGAACTCTGATGAAAAGATAATAAATGAGTTCAATATATACAGCCATTTCATGGGTTTCTACTATGCACCACCATAAATTTAAAGCCAATTATGTTCTGTTTAAATATTTAACACTGTATAGCTAGCCAATTTTACATCCTGTCAGAAATAATTGAAATACCAACTTTGTCCCTTTAATAGCCAGGCAGAACATCCAGGAGAAGGAAAATACTACTGGGATTCCACTATTTGCAACTGGATATTGAAAATACCCTCAATGCCTCAGAATTTAACAAGTTCAGCTCTAAGACCAAAAGCACAAATCTGGAAACAGTGTGAAACTGAGAGCAGCCAGCAACAATCTCAAACCAACAGGCTACTGCTGTCTCCCAAAACAAAACTACCAGCAGCTTTTATTTGCATAGCTGAGACACTAGAGGACCCCATACACACATGTTAGGGACTGAATTTAAACTAATTTGAATTGAATCCCAGGGTTCTGCAAGGAAGCAACTTTTGTATAACTGGTTCTTTACAGACACTTCTTTGAAGGGATGAAATCCAGTGGCTGTGACTAAGCTTGTAAGCACTGTGCACTCAGAGCTGTTATCAAACTTGGGGAAGAGCCACCAGGCCAGAAGAAGCTATAGGAGAAGGTCCTGAGCTGATCACATTAAGATGAAAATTTCAGGATCAATCCCTAAGACATCAGGTGCAAACATTCCCCAAAGCATGCAAGTTACTGGCCACTGGAAGAGCAGCACAGGGCAAGCTGGAAATGCCATGAAGGTTTTTCTTTCTGAAATAGTCAAGAAAAGACTCGAAGGCTGTACCTATGGGCAACACAGCAAAACTTAACTCGTGGCACTGCTCCACCAATCTGCTAGATGTGATATGGCAGACAAGCTCAGCCATTAGCTGTGTAAATAGATTTCCTTCCCTCTATCTGTATTGCTGAGTCAACTTCTGTTAAAACACTGCTTTCTGTGGCAGGGCAAGGCACCAGGTTATCCAAGTATTTAAAGAGAAATTATTACACTCAAAGATATACTACAAACTGTAAAAGGCATCTCTCCAACAAGGCATTTGCCATTTCTTCCCCTAAATCCTTGTTTGGATGTTTGGGGTGAGCAAGTCCCCAGGCAACAGGAGAGAACTTGGCTAAAATTATCATCACAAAGAATCTGAAATACAACATTAAAAGTCCCGTTTGCTTTCCAGTCCTCTGGCTTCAGCAAGACATGAACAGGTGGGACACTACTGAGCTGCAGCAGGGATGTTACTCAAGACATCTCCTAAGACCAGTGGTTTTGTTGGACCTGGAACCATCTTTTCCAGTGATGCCTAAAGGAAAGATCACAGGAGAGAGAGGGTTAGAGCTTTGGGTCCAGGAGCCCTGCTGCCCAATACTCCTTACAGAAGCAGTACAAGGTTGAGAGGTGACAAGGATCCACTCCCCAACAACCAAAGGTCTTCACAACAATATTCCCATTGCTCTTGTACCAGCTAAATGGAGCTGCTGAAACAAATGGCTTCCCTGGCACCAGGGCTCAGCATGAGGCTACTGAGGGCCCAGAAGTGTCAGTCTGTATGGAATTGTCTGGTTTCTGCTCTGCAAACACTCAGAACCACCTCTACTGATAGCAATTACATATTTCCTTGAATCCTCATGAGACACCAAGTCCCCAAAGTGCCCTCCCTAAATATTAAACACCAGGGAAGATGATGTGTAGAATATCTGGAAATGGTGTGAGTGGGGAGTATTTTTGGCTACACAGGCTTGCTGTGATCTGTACCTCACCCCTGGCTTTCAGGGGACCTGAGGTAACCATCAGGGCAGCAGAAGAAACAAAGTGAGACAAAGTCTGTATGAAAAAGAATGCAAGGACAGCAAGAAACAAAAAGGAACAAGATCCCAAGGCTGCTGCTGGGCTTTGCACTGGCTCTTGGAAATTTTGCCATAAAGCAACCTCTTTCCTCCTCACATCTACAGCTCATTAGCCAAGAACAGTTACTCAGACAAACCACATCTGCCATTCATAGGCTTAGGAGCCTATGAAATGAGATTGATCAATCCTTCAGTAATGGTACTCACAGAAAAAAACCCCAAATGCTTCCTGACTCAGAAAAACAGAAATGTTAATGCTGGAGTTATGACTGGCAGCATCTAGAGGTAGCAACACAACAGAGCCTGATCATTAACAAATTCCTGCCTGCTCTTTGATAACCTGGAGTCCCCCATAACCAGTGCCTTGAGAAAACCAGAATTAGATCCTCAGGCAAAGGATATGGGAAAAAAGCCAGCTGGCTTTAAAGCAGCTCTTTGTCCCACTGAGGGCTTGCAAATCCTGTGTGTTTCTAATTCAGCTCTTCGTATATCTTTATTTTCTCCACAACACACAGAGAGACAGTGTTTATTTCAGCAATTCATCTGAATGCTGCAGACAAGAAGCCCAGGGCAGATCTCTTTCTTACTCAGAGTTGTGCAGTGTACAACCTGCAGGATGGGCAAGCACATGTACCCTCCCTGCTGCAGCACCTCAAAAATCCTCACCTGGAATGAAAGGGGAAAAAAAACCACCAAAGCCCTCCATGACCAAAGGTCTGGCTGTGTCCATAGCAGAAGATCACTATGAAATCACAGACTCCTGCTAACAAGTCTCAGAGCAGCAGCATCCTGCATGAGTAGCACAAAAACTTGCAGGCATATAATACCCCAGTTAAACCC